CAGATGCACAGAATTATATATAGAAAAGAGAGAAAATAAATTTTGCGCATCTGGATTACCAAGTGATAGACAGAAAAGAGGTCAAAAAGGCAGGAAGGTTTAGGAAAATATGAGAAAAAGAGCATGAAAAGAATATGGTCAGATTTGATTTAGCATTTCATGTCTTATTCTCAGCAATCAAAAGGGTTATAAAAGGTAGGCTTGTGCATTTAAGTTATTAATTCAGTACTTCATGCCTTATCCTTAGCAATCAAAATGGTCATAGATAGAATTGCAAAAATAGCATAATATCAGCACTTTATATGTATCTGATCAGCAATAAAAAGTGGGTAAATAGATTGCAACACATCTTCAGCAAATGGATGGATTGCAAATTCAGCACTTCGTGTCTCATCTGACAATCAAGAGATGGCAATTGAGAAGGAAAATATATGGATTGCAAATTCAGCACTTCATGCCTCAACCTGACAATTAAATAAGGGTAGGATTACAAGCAAGTTCAGCACTAATTTTTAGTAATTATATAAGCCAATCTTAGTACTTCTGATTTTTCAATCATCAGATCTTCCAGTCAGAACCTCAAAAGTAGTGAAAAAGTGACAGAGAAGTGACAAAAAGGTTTTGAAAGTACATCACGCATATGATTTTTTTTGATACAGTAAATTACAATAATTTGACTAACTATAATTTTGGGCGACTTAAGGACGTTGAAATTAACTAAAATAAAGTTATGTGATTTGATTGTACTATCTGACCACAATACGATTTTTAGCAAATAATACCAGCCTAGCATCATAGCCACAAAAAGACCGCAAAGCAATAAAAATAAACGAATAGCTAGAAGAAAATAAAAAGAGGACAGAGCAATAAAATCAAGCAAATATCTACAAAGTAATAAAAAAGTTATAATGCAATAAAATCAAGTGAATAGTAATAAAGCAATAAAAAGGCCATAAAATATGAAAACAAATAAGTAGGTAACAATCTACTCATAACTAGGTAATAGTTTACTCAAAACTAGATAACATTATAATAGAACTGGATAACACTCTTATAAGAGTATTATCTAGTATAATATATATAAATAATATATAATTTATTTTAATATAATTTGTATTTTAAATTTTTTAATACCATTTAACATTTTAATTTATTTAATTAATATAATTAAGATAAATTTTAATTAATAATATAAAATATATAAAAATATTTAAAGTTTGCTTTTTTTAAATATTAAAATAATTTTTGAGTTATTTATTTTTAGAGATTATTTAATTTTAAATGACTATAGTAATAATAATTTAATATATTAAAAATATGATTAATATAAACAAAATTTATTAAATATATTTGATTATAAATTATATATAATTTATAATAAATTTAATAAAATAAAATTAATCTAATTATATTTATTAATTTATAAATTAATATTTAATTGTTAATTATAAATTAAAAATTATTTACTTATTTTTTAATTAAACTATTTTAAAAATTAATTAATAAAATTATAAAATTATAAAATTAATTTTTTAATATTAAATATTTTATATTATAATAAATATATAAAATCTTTTTCTTCTTTTATCCTAAAGATTATTTTGATTTATTAAAATATTTAATAAATTTATAAGTCTTAAATAGATATTAGAATCAATTATAATAATTCAATTTAAATTTAAGTCTAATCAGTTTTAAATAAATCTAATTCTAAATTTTAGAATAATATAAAACTAGTTATAATACAAATTAAATACAATTAGTTAAAAAATCTAGTTTTTGATTTATCAAAAATAATTTAAGATTAATAAAAATGTTTATATTTAGTCTTACACAAATTTTTCTCATATAATTATTTTTTTACTTTAATATCTTTTCCTTTTAACATAGTTATTTCTCATTATGGTGAACTTATCTACTTTTTAATTATACTTTCTGATATAAAAACTATTATAAAACTTACAATTACTAATATTATAAGTATAAAAGATAATATAAAAAATAAAAAGAAGAATTTTGTTCATTTTTAATTAGAACTAATTAAAGTCATACTGCGTTTTTTTCAGATTAAAAAAATTCTAATATTACTTATTACAAGAATTTTAAAACGAATAAATAAAGCAAATAAAGTTGTATATAATTATAACTGAAAAGATAAAAATTCTACTAATTTTATAATATATTTATGTAAAAAATATAATATAAAAAAAATTTATTTGAAATTTATAGATGACAAAATAATAAATTTTGATTATCAATATGCTTATATAATATTAAAATTAATTTTTTATATAAAATTATAAAACATTTAAAATTGAATTGATTTAACCTAGTTTTTTAAACTGATTTTGATTTGGACTAAACATTTTAATTGACTTAGTTATCAATTGTAGCTAATTTAAACTAGGTTAAATTTTTGAAAATATTTAAAATAAGTTTTAGAAATAAAATGCATTTCAACCTCTAGTTTTAATTTAAATAATTTATTTTATTAAATTAATTATTATATAAATATTAAGAATTTTATTTTGTAAAATTTTATTATATAAGATCTTTACAATAGAAAGAGGGGAAACAGCTGAATAAAATCAATTTTACTTTTATATGCTAAATATGATTTTTAGGTCAAAATATGTTCAGATTTAGCATTAACTCATTTTTTATTTTTTTCAGCTGTTTCTTACTTTTCTATTGCAAAGGTTCCATATTGATACTTTGTAAAAAAAAACTTTTTTTAAAAATTAATACTTTATCTAGATATATTATTTTAATATTAATATATTTAATATATAAAGTAGATTTATTTTTTTAGTATTTTTAATTTTTATACTGTATATATTTAATAAAATAAATAATATATTAATAATAAATTAAGTGATAAATTTTTAAAAATGTAATTTAAAAGGATAGTAAAATAAGTTTTTTATATTTAAAGATAAAATAAAAGATTTAAATTGTAATTTATAGAATATTTTAATTTAATAAATAAGTAAACAAGAGTAAAAATATATATTATTAATTATAATAATCACAATTAATATAAAACTAATTCTTTATGTATATATATTTAATATTTAAAATATTAAAAAATAATTTTTGTTTTTTTTATTATCTTTAAAATTAATAAATTAGTATAATTTTTTGATTTATTTAAATTTATAATAATAGTATCATTCATTTATTGCTAACGTATATAGTAAACTCCTCGTAAAAATTATAAAATTTGCCGAGAAAATCTTGGAATAGTTGATTGGTTACTATCTTTTACAATTCAACACTCTCATTCGAGATGAAAAAGATCATACCATACTATTATCGATAGATATACTAGATTTAGTTGATTTTCCGAAAATGAGAGATAAACATTTCTTAGTATTATCACGCAATTTTTTTTTTTCATTTATTTTCCTCATTTATTTCCTCATTTATTTATTTTTTTACCTTTTTTTATTATTTTTTTCTTTTTTCCGTTATTTTTTTTTTTTTTTAAAAAAATATTTATAATATAATACATAATAAATATGACTGTTCAATCAAAATCTATTCCTATTCAACAAACGTCTCAATCTTTTCCAGCATTTTTGTTGGCACTTTACCTTCAACAATTAACTATACATCCTTTGAAGACAAAAGCGATAACTTCCGGGGTGTTATCTGGTCTTCAAGAACTTGTTGCTCAGGAATTGAGTGGAATAAATAGTAGAAGAAAAGGAAAAGCTAAAGAAAATGACCAAGGAAAATTATATTTTACTGTTGATAAAAAGGTCGTAAAGATGGCCTTGTACGGTATGTTAAGTAGCATTATAGCATTAAAACACGTGTAAACCATTTTTCTAATCGACCGCGTAAAATATTTTTAGGTTTCTTAGTAAGCGGACCCCTTAATCATGTGCTTTTTGAAGCACTTAACAAGATATTTAGGCATCGTACCGGAGCTGGTGCAAAATTTTTACAAATTCTGGCATCTCAATTAATTATCACACCAATTCAAAATACCGGTATGTAAATCATGTAAGCTATGCCGATTCTAATTCGTATTTACTCATGATAATCGTAATTCTTTTATCAGTATATTTAATTGCCATGGCAGTTATTGCAGGCGTTAATACTCCAGCACAAATTCAAAAAACCGTTAAAAAAGCTCTTTTGCCAATTATGAAAATGAGTTGGATCGTTTCACCATTAGCAATGGGTTTCGCTCAGAAATTCTTACCTCCACAGTTATGGGTACCATTCTTTAATCTCGTTGGGTAAATTCTTTTTTAAAAGATTCGCGCGTCTTTTTTCATTATAACTTATAACCATTTATACATTCATTATTCATTTATTATTCAACTTTTAGATTTGTTTTTGGTGTTATAGCTAATACTAAAGCGAAAAGGATTCAACAACAAAAAAGTCACGATAACAGAGATCAAGACGAACGAGAAAGTCAAAATTGAAGGAATAAAAAAATCTTCTTAATTAATTTTTTCAAAATGAACTTTTTAAAAAATTTTTTTGTTTTCAATTAAAAAATATAATTGTTTATGTAAATCTAAATATATATATAATGAAAATGTCGTATTTATTTTTACAAAATTCGCTTGCTCAATGTAATAGCATTTTATTTCCCCTTTGAAGAACCACAATTTGTCAAAACGTTGTCTAAAATAGGTAATTTTTTCTTAAACTCATTGTTCAAGACATAAGGGCATTAATCTCTAGATACATTACACATTATCGTAAATTAATTAAAACTTTAATAACTTAATTTTTAATTTTTTTTTAAAAAAAAAAAAAAAAGAGAAAAAAGTTTCTCGAGGCAATACTAGTTAAACAAAAAATATTAGTGATTAAAAGAATAAAAATACATTCATACGTAAAGTAAAAATTATTACAATTGAAAAGAATCATTTCATAAAATCATCATGTATCAATCCCAAACCTTTGCTCAAATTTGAGAGAGAAAAAATTGCACTCACCCAACTTTTCTTTTCGATGTACATATATATATATAATTATTTTTCTTGAAGACCTAATTCTTCTTTGGTCAAAATACCCAATTCTTCTTTAATCGGTTTCAATTCTTCCAAATATTGACTATATTGAACATCATTTTCAACTTTTTGTCTCAAACCTTCAAAAATTCTAACAGCAATTGGAAAGTCATTAACACGTCTAGCAGCTTTAAGTGATGCTTCAATTACAGATGGCGCTGGTACCAAATCATAAGCAAAACAATTGTTTAGACCCCTTGATAATTCAAAACGATCGTCAACTCCTTCAAAAAATTTAATATAACGTTCGGTGAACGCTTCAAAAGATTCGTCTTCATGAGCATCAGAATAAAAACGAATTCCTATTTATTCAAAACATTTATTATTATGATTATTATTTTAAAATATTAAACTAAAATGCTATTTTATTTTTTAAGATTTTTTTTTTTTTAAAAAAAGAGACCTTACCTTTATACGTTAGAGGTTGACTAACTTTAGCAACGCGCATGGCAAGCCGACTATTACCCAAGAAAGTCCTTGGAATAACCCGAGTGATAGCATTAAGTTTATACATCTGACGAATAAAAATAATAATAATAAGAAATGAGGCTTAGGATATAAAGGGAAGCGTATAATTTTATATCTAAACAGCGAGCAATTAATTAAATTCCATATCGTGTACGAAGCTTTGTGTATAATTTCATTTCTTATTTAAAATGAAGACAATTTTCTTAACAAAATTAAACAATTAATAATTATCTAAGGAAAAAAAATTTTTTTTCGTTGAATAAAAAAAAAAAGGAAATATTTACTTACGATTATAGTTAAAAAAAAATCTAATGTAATAATGAAGAAAGTTAAAATTGTTACTGCGAAAAAATTTTTTTTTTAAAAAAGAATAATCCATATTTATATTTGATCTGATATCATGTAAAAGTATATCCGGTAAGATCGTCCAAAAAAACTTAATCTTTAAGTTTTCCTTAATAGTTTAAATAAAATAATATAATAATTATTATATATAACTAATAATTTTAGATATCTAATATCTTATTAGTAATATTTAAAAATAAATAATGTGATGCATTAATTGTTACTTATTCAAATCAGTAATTATATATAATAGTATTATTTTCATTAACAAACTTAGGTAAGTTATTAAATGAAATTTTTCAGATTTACGTATTATTAATTTATATACTATTAAAAAGATTTAATTTTTTAATATCAATAGATACATATTATTAAAACTATTATAAATATATAATTCATATTATTATAAAATAAATATTAAATATTATTTTTATAATAAATATATGAATATGTTACTGTTTAATTTAAAGTTGTGATCTAAATATTTATAAGTAAATTTATAATGAAATTCTACTATCCATCTTTTAACTATTCAAGTATTAAAGTTTTTATTTATTTATCCAATAAAAAATAATCTGTTTATCTATATTTAGCAAATAAATAATAATTATTTTTTAAATTATAATATATTTATTAGAAAAAAATGCTATCAAATACTTTAAATCTTATTACTAAAAATTTTTTTAAATTAATAATTAATATATTTATCAAAAAATATAATAATATAGTATAAAATTTTGCTGATCATCTAAAATTATATAAAAGTATCATAAAAGTATATGTTATACCTTTTTAAAAAATCACAACTAAAACTATTGACCAATATAAATTTTATATTAAATTTACTATATTTATTTCAAATAAATAAAATTTTAAAATATTAAAAATTTAAAAAATTTTATTTTTTTTAATTTATATAATTAATTATTTAATTTGTTAAAATTTGTTAAATTTTTAAAATTTTTATAAAATATGATAAAAAAATTATATTACGCTACTAATAATTTATATTAATTAATTACTATCTTTAACTTCTTATTTATAAATGAGTTAAAGTTAATGAAAACTGACATTTAATTTGAGTAGTATTATATAAATTTATAAATATATTTTTTTACTATTGGATATAACCTCCTCTTTTTTTTGACTAATTATATTTATAATTCTTTAATATATCATTTAAATTAGCTTTATATAAACCTCAACTTTATTATTATTCAATTTTTTTTTATAATTACTTCTTATTTTTTATTAGTTCATTTAAATATTATAACTTTATTTTAATTTATTTTATATATATTTAATTAGATTTAAATCTAATAATTGTATTAGCTAATCTAAAACTATAATATTATTATTTTCTAACTAAATACTTATTAAATAAACTTTATATTTACTTTATACTTATAATATTAAAAGTTTTTAATAGATCATCTTTTATAATTTCATAATATAGATAGTATCAATTCTATTATTGATTTTATATAAATATCTGATATGATGAGCTATAAAATATTCTTAAACAAATATTCTGTAACCTTTAAATTTTATATTCACTTTTATATAATGATCTTTTAGGATTTATTAGTTTACTTTTTTATTATCTAAATCAAAAAAAATTAAATTTGCTTTTGTCTGATTATATTTATTTTATATTAATCATTATAATTCTAATGCTTATAATCTTTTATAAATTTATAATATCAAAAACTTGTAAGTTATTCTATTTAAAGTTTTTTAAACTTGAATGATATTTATACATTTTTTACTGATAATATAATAGATTGTCTGACTAGATATTAGAATTAATTATTAAATCTTTAGAGATTTGATTTTTTGTTTCTTATAATATAATTTATTTTAAACTTTAATAATTAATTCTATAGTCAATAAATATATTAAATCTGAATTAGAATTGTAAAATTTATTAACAAATTATTTAACGTTGCTAATATTTAACTATAAATTATTATAACATAGATACTAATCATTACTAATCATTTGCTAATCATTTCATCGTTTTTGAGTTTTTGAATGTTATTGTTAATCAATTTTTTATTTTTGTTTAAACTATATATTTGATCTTTAAATATAATATTAAATTTATTTTTTTGTTTAAATTCAATTTCCTTTTAAAGAATAAGATTCAATTTTAATTCAATAATTGATTCTAATTCTATATCTAATATTCTTTATAATTAGTTAAAATATAAGATTAGTCAAATTTTGATAAGTTCTTAATATTTTTTGTTTTTCCATATTTTTTATAGAGTCAAAAATAGTACTTTTAGAAACATGGTATCTTTTAGTGAATTTAACTTATAAATATACTTTTTTATCTAAATAAAATAAAAATTTGTATTTTTTATTTCTCACTTAAATGAACTACACTAATTTACATTAAATTAGCAAATTTATAATTATATGGGACCTTTGCAATAGAAAAGGGAGAAATGGCTGGAAAAAATAAAAATTGAGTTAATGCTAAATCTGAACATATTTTGACTTAAAAATCATATTTGACATATAAAAGTAAAATTGATTTTTTCCAGCAGTTTCCTCTCTTTCTATTGCAAAGATCTCATATGATTTATCACATCTGTAATAAATTTGCAATTCTTTCTAATATATATAAAAATAATAAAAAATATATATATACATATTCTTTATCTTCTACAAAATAGAAATGTGTAAAAACAAGTTGTCTGAAGCTTAACATGAAAGAATTATCAGTATATATCTGAGTGGTACTAAGTAAACAATTATTTTAATTCAATTTAATATTCCTATTAATGCTATCAATGATACTATAAAAGATATAAAAAAATAGGTTTTGCAATATCTGAGAAGTGTTCTAGTCATCTTAAATACTTAATCAATGTGATAAATGAACCCTACAATATATCATTTAAAATAATCAGTTCACTTCTATTAGTGATATAATAAGCAAATTAACTTTAGTCTTAATATCACATTGTATAATAGTATTATTAGAAAATACTTTCATAATGAAGGTTTCAGTAGTTATATCATTCATATTAAACCTCTTTTGACCTAAAAATAATAAAAGAATAGATTAAAATAGAGTAGAGAGAAATGAAACTAAGATGATGAATAGAAAAAGATAATATGACCTTATAAGTTCAGATTTGTTTTTTTTGAATCAGATGAAAAAATAAGAGCTTGGAGAAGTTCTGAAGAAATTTATAATAAAAATTGTATCTTATCTACAATTAAATTTAGTGGTGATTCAGTGATATTTAAGATTATTTTAATTAGTATGGGATTAGACCTTTAATTGTAATAAAAGAAAGTATAAATTTTAACGCATATATCAATATTTTTGCTAACTACTTCATATCATAGGTTAGTAACTATTCTAACTCTATTTTTTAGTAAGATAGAGTTTTATGTCATACATTAAATTATAGCATTTAGTAAATGAAAACACATAATATTTCAATCTTAGATTAGGTGATACAAAGTCCTGATCTTAACCTGATTAAAAACCTATAAAATCATTTAAATCAACAAGTTAAAAAAAAAAAAGCTTTTACCTAAATGTAAACAGAAATTAATAAATATAGTTCAAGAGGAATAGAGAAAAATTAGTATAGAGATAATACATCATTTAATTTTAAGCTTATCTAATTATGTTAATGTGATAATTAAAGCTAAAAACAGACATATTAAATATTAATCTGTTAAAATATAAATTTTATTTTATAATAAATATAATATCTGTGAATTATTTTGGCATAATTTTTATTGTTGGTT